ACACAACAGGGAGAAGGAACAAACAAATGACAATACTGTTCAACAAAGAAACTGCAGAGGGATTTTCATTGTTCTATTTCCGTTACACATAAATTCATTTAAACTGAAAGCTATGGAATCTGACTATCTATCATATTAAAGCATGATACTTTGAACTATTTTATGGTCAGATCACAGAATTTGTTTTGTTACTGGAATTAAAAATAATAATGAATTAATCACATTCCTTAGCTCATTCCAATTCCTACATCATTAGAAACAACATGCATTTGGAATGTTGTTAGTAATATACATTAACATATAGTAAATCATTGTTTCTTTAGTAAATCTATGCTTATAGTACATACTTCCAAATATCAGTCAACTATGGAAGTGTATCATATTTAAAAACTGATAAATTACATTATATTTACTACTTATAAAAGGATTGAATTGACTTAATTTACCAAGACCTTAAATCAGTAAACAATAACAATCACAAATGAAAAGTATGGTGATATGATCTTGGTATCCTACATTGAAATCTAAAACATTTGTTTGTTTAATTAATGTACACTTGTTATTTGACCTTTGAACATCAGTACTACCTACATACATACATACATCCATACATTGAATTTCACCATCATTTGAATCTCAAGAATAGTGATATGTATAGAGTAACTGTGAGTTCTCTTCAACCACTTACTGATGCTCGCTATCACATAATTTTCCTAGGATAGAGTACTTCACACATTTGTTTGAAGTATTTAAATTTGGAAAATAACTGATCTTGGTATCTAACCAACTCAGTAGTGTACGAAATTGTGATATATCTGGAGCTTCTTTTAAATTTCCCTTGTACAAAATATCTGCATGAATGACACTCTTTCTTCATTGATTATTTAACTCGAACCCAGGACATTAGGTCTGAGATGTCATAAAACACTGGTGTTACCAATAAGAATAAGCATATATGGTGTGTCGAAATATTATCAGTCAATAATAATTTTGATTTATTTTTATTTTTTTGGTTAATATCCATCAACGTTATCAATAACTTCAATATTCTACAATTTCTAA